AAAAAAAAAAGGAAAAAAGAAAGAAATGAAGAAAAGAGGGCCAGGCATGGCGGCACACACCTGCAGTCCCGCACTCTGGGGCCTGAGGCAGGGAGATCAGAGTTCAAGGATGGTTAACTGTCAATTTGAATAAGAAATGCCCAACTACATTGAATCATCACAGTTCTAGGTGTGCCTGAGGGGATTTCATGGAGACAGAAGCCCCACCCTGTTTGGCTTGCCCCCTGAATGGAGTAAGAGGGCAACAAAGGAGGGCCTGCTTCTGTTTCTTCAGAGGAGCTCCAGTCTTCACCTTCCCCTTGGACGTCTCCTGGCTTCTAGCACTGACCCTCTGCTTCTTGATAGGGACTCGCATGGGACACTACAGCAGGCTCCAGCCCTTCGACTGGACCCTTCAGATCTCCAGCACACAGACAGCCCTTCTTCACTATGCCACACCTGAGTCTGTTGGTGGCCATTATAAGCCTGTCTTGTAAATTCTTTTTTTTTTCCCAAAAAATTGAGAAATGTAAGTTCTTATATATTTGTATATCTTTAAATTAAAAAAAAAAACTCTTCTATTTATTTTTTTGGTACAGGGTCTCACCATGCAGCTCGGACATGTAGTGATCCTCTGACCTCAGCCTCCCAGTGCTGGGATTCTAGGCATGTGCCACCATGCTTGGTTTTGGTGGCCAGCACAGCACGTGGTACTGGGAATCAAACTCAGGTCCTTGCACTTGCCAGACAGATGCTTAGACTGCCAAGCTATGTCTCCAGCCCTATATTTGTATATCTTACATTAAATCTGTTTCTTTAGTAAGCGCTGACTGATACAGTTATTTACTTACAAGAGTGCTAGCTGGGTTATACGGTGGTTATATTTTAAACTTCCTTGGCAACCTCTATCTTGTTTTCGTAAGTGTCGGTCAATGAATGAATGGATCAAGAAAATGTGATAGAGCCTATTTGCCACCACACCCGAGTGAAACTGAAGGACACTATTCTAAGTGAAAATATGAGCTTTCTTGGATGTAGAACCTGAAAAAACCCATCACATTGACAGAGATAAAGAATAAAACAGTGGTTACCAGGAGGCAAGGGTTTGGGAGAAGAATCAGAGATGTAGGTACAAAGAAAGAGCATCAAGTAGCAGAACGTAGGAAGTCAGGAGAGAGCTTATGTATGGCATGAGCAGGATGGTTAACAAATTTGGGTCATGTGAGGGATTTGTGGTGAATACATAGATTTTACCTGCTTTTGTTATGGAAAAAGCAACTATATGAGATGATAGATACCTGCTTTGCCTTGTAGTAGTAATGACTTTACTGTCTGTATGTGTTTCATAACATCAGGTTGTGCACCTCAAAAGCATACAGTAAAATTTATTAAAAAGAACAACACAGAAGTTTATAAAACAAATTATTTATGAAGTTTTAAAAGAAACAACATCCACTTTGAGAAATTCTGGCAGGTTAAAAAGATGTAGATCAAACTATCAGCAAACCAGGCCTGTGGATGTATTGGGCTGCTACCTGTTTGTGTTATTGGAATATGGCCACGCCCACTCACTTCCATGCCCACGGAGTGGCTGAACTGTGTAGTTTTAACAGACCCACTGTGCCCCTCAAAGCTTATAGTATTTATTTATTTATTATGTGTTTAGTACAGGGTCTACAGGGTCTTACTACATAGATCGGACTCATAGTGATCCTCCTGTTTTCAGCCTCCCAAGCGCTGGGATTACAGGCCTGCACCACCATGCCCAGTCTCAGTTGCCCTTTCAGCATGCCCTGGGGGCTGGGCTGGCATGGCACGCCAGGGATTGAATCCCAGTCTCTGCGTCTGCCCAAACAGGCGCTTTAGTCTGCTGAGCTATCTGGCTGGCCCTGTTATAGTATTTATTATCAAACTGTTTAATAAGGGTTTGATGGTTATTGGGAAAACCATGAAGAAAACAACTGATATTTTAGACTTCTCAAAACTTAAGACATTTTATAGAGTAGCAACTGTCATAAAAAAAAAACAAAAAACCAAAAACCAAAAAACAAAAAACCAACTTTTGGATGAAGCAGTTATAGTGTAAAGAGCATTTTTCTACTAAAATAAGGGGAATTAAAAAACACCCTGAATACTGATGTACCAAGCTGCTATAAAAAGATCTGTTATTTTGGGCTGTGGTGTTGGGGTGACATTTTCAATGTTCTAGACACTGTCAGTCTACATTGTTTTGCAATCAGCTTCTAAAGCTTTTTTTTTTTTTAAAGGTATACTTTTAAAAAAATGATGTACATATAACATCACTGTTTAAAAAAGGCAAAGTGAAGCAGAGAGCTGAGATGGTCTGAAAACTTACTCAAATGCCAAGAATTAGTTAGAATATAAGCTTTTCTCAGGTGGATACTTGGGATTCAGTCATGTTGGAATTTCCAGCACCAAGGACAGCATCTGGAACACAGTGGGACAATTTAGGTGCTGCTGAAGACATTCTGATCATCAAATAAGACACTTGCATGAGCTGGTTTCAGGGCTTGGAAAACATGGTTTGCAAGCCTATGCTACCCCTCCTCTTGTTATTAAACATACTGTTTTATTGGAGGCTGACCACACCTGTCCTTTGCACATTTTCTTAGAGGGTTTTGACACTGTATATTAGAGGTAGGAGGCTGCATTGAGATTGCTTGCATGTAAGGCTGAAAGCTGTGCACCTTCTGGTGTGTTGCATTGTGCACAAGAGGGTACACAGCTAAAAATCAGCAAAGAATCACAAAAAAATCAGCATAGTTCTGGAGTTGACTGGCCAGTGTTCTAAGGAGGGTGGTGTTCCGGGGAGGCCACCTAGGATATGTCTCATCTCTTCTGTTTCCACTTCCTGCCTCATTTTGCTGAACTTTGTCCTGAGAGCTGATTGTGTAGGTGGAGGGAAAGCCACTGTAGTATGGGATATCACAGATGTGTCATATAATCCTTATGTGTGACTCCAGAAATCCCAAAGTTCTGCAAACTGAAAGTTTCGGGGAACTCTCTGGACCACAAAGCCTGACCTGTACAGATGACTATAGTCACGGTTCTCCCCAGTCAGTATGAATATTAATGTGTTTTGCTGCAGAAATGTCTGGGAGTTGGATCACAAGGTGCTGCTCCCAGATGCTTCAGGGTTTCAAACCCAATGTGGAACTAATGCAGCATATTATCTTTCCGAAAGCTGCAGCATTCTGAATGCCAAAGCACATCTGGCCCCAGGGGTTACAGATAAGGCACCTGGGCCTCTAATTGGAGCATGGCATACTAGCTGGAATTGAGTTAGAAACAGAGTGTATAACTTTGTGCTGGGGAAGAATGGTCCTGTGGAGGTGGGGGACTGAAGTATGCAGCTTTCGGTGCCAGCAAACATCGGGCTGTGAGCATACATCAGGGACTTGGGTGGTTTGGGGAGAAAAGAGAAAAATGTATTTTCCTAGGATTGACCTTATATGAAGCCTTTTCATTCACCTCTAAGCAAAACTGTGGCATTGTTATGTATGTTGTGTTGTTGATGAGTGGCTAAGAACACACACACATGTCTATTTATTTAAAAGATTTGGTACTATGCACAATTTTGGGCATCCATAGGGAGTTTTGAGTTGGGGTGTACTGTAGTATTCTGACATTGTAGAAATTCCCGTAAATTTCTTGTCTGATGGAATTTGGCCACTAGGATGATAGGAAGCTCCTGTTGCTTGCTTTTATCTTGCTAGCTGAGAAGTCTGCACAGCTCTATGCTGAATGCGTAGGGCAACTCAGGTGTCTGATTTGAGCTGCAAGAGAGGCTGGGAAAGAGACCCTGGCATTTTCAGTCATGATTAGTGTATGGGAGCAGTCTTTACTCCACCTCCACAAAAGATGAGCACTTGCCAAATGCTAAAAGAGGTTAGCTAACTTGCAGGAAATGGAAGATGAATGACGAATCTATCACTGTGTTGAAGACATAGAAAAAACAAAGTGGAATTAAAAAAACCAGTGAAATCATGGAAATTCCTAAATGGTTGATCATTTTGTTTCATTTTCTTCCTGTGAATGTCAATCTTTGCATTTTTTCTCTTCTTCCTTGGGATTAAAGTATGTTTTCAAAAGCTAGTCATCTTTTTATGCACTAAGCGAATGACTTCATTGACTCGAAAGAACGTTCTGCCGATTGCATTTAATTGCTTTCCCCCTTTAAATCACAAGTGCTTATATCCAGGCCTGGATCTGGTTCAAATTAAGTGATTATATGTTGTTGCCTCCATACTATCCTCTAATTTCTTCACAGTAAATGAACTGTTCTTGTCCCCTCCTAAAAGTAATAACCCATCATTAAGAGTAGTGCATGCCATGAGCTCTTTATGGGCTATGGGTCCACTGGGCACAGGTGGGTTCTCACAATGTTGCAACTCCCTTAGGAATCCAATAAAAAGGACCCAACTAAAGGGTAGAAAAAGATAAGGGACATAGTTTTCAGGATAAGTTGTTTGCTTCTTCTTTGGCTTTGATCCATTAGAATATGGAGAGAAATTGGCTGCACACCTAGGCTGTGTTTGGCATTGGTACTGTACAAGTTTACTACCTCTATAGATAGTACTGTCAGGGCAGTCCTCACAGCATGGGGAAGGAGTGGGCTTCAGGACAGAGGTGTGGCTCAAGCAAAGATCAGAGGCAG